CCCCTCCCCCCCCAACGGATGGAAACGGTCGCCCCCAACCGCCCCGTAACGGCCGCAGCCCGGAGCCCTCGCGCTCCGCTTCTGCTGCTTCSCTTGGAATGCCGCAGAACCGGAGCCCCGCTACGCGTGAGGCGGCATCGCCGCCCCTCGGCTTGCGTGGCGCTGTGAGCTGCACGCTGTGCAGCTAGCCCCCGGCACCCCGCTGTTCCCAGGGAAAAACAGCTCCCTTGAGCTGAAGYGAAAGGCTGCTCGTAGACTAAGGGCTATAGGTTACCAGAAAAGCAGGAATAATGCAGCAAAGTGTATATTCTACCACTTTAAGCCTCCCCATGCTCAAGCAATATGTTTAGTTCTAACAAGTAGGAAGCAAAGTTCACTAAGACAGCTGGCACCTCACATTCTTTTCTGAAAATGCCTCTCTGTAACTTATGTACAGCCCCTGCTCTTCAGCTGGACACGTAAGAAATTCCCTTCAGATAAAGTTATTTTCAGAAGAGGTATCTTGAAAGAATATACTGTAATGCTGTTTTGCTCACAAGTGATTGTAAAGCCTTCTAACTCCACCTGCTGTTCCACAAACCTTAAGACTTCCTCAGAGTGCCAAATCTCATTCCCAGGCCCTATCCAAATAGCTCTTAACTCCAAATTCACCCTCCTGCAACAGTAACTAAACACACACTATTAAACTAAGCTAGAAAGTCAGATGAATATCTTGTACAAAATATTTTTATTAAAAAGAGGAAGGGTTCTGCTCAACAAAAGGTAGGTATGGCAGTAATCATAAAGGTAGGTATGGCAGTAATCATAAAATTAACTTTTAACAAAACAGATTAGATGCAAAACTGGTTGTGATAAAGACCATGTCCAACACTGACAAAGTCTCCATTACATCTTTTAAAACAGAGCCAATGTGTCCATCAGTTATGATCACCAAGCTATAAAAMCACTTTTCCAACGAGAGAGTTATAGGCACATTATAAAGATCAAGTTTAACATGCTGCATCCATGATGAAGTTGCAGTAATCCAAAGAAATGCTACTAAAATGTTAAGATTCCTACAGAACCTTTTACATTTCACAGCTTTTAGTCTTCCTTTCCAATTCTTATGCACCAGCATAAAAACCTTTGTTTCCAAAATATATATATAAAATCCCAAATAAAAAGCCATCTCTCTCGACATAAAAAAAATATCAAAGAACCTTTTAATTTGGTCTTAATACATGGAAATGTCTCTACATAAACATGAATAACCAGGGTTTTTCTTTTTCTTCACCTTGTATGTTCCGGACATCAGCTAAGAACGGGCACCCTGACCTGTGACTAGCTTCCTGCTTACCAAAGCCAGACAGGCAGGGGGGAAGAAACGAGGTAAAACGTACAAAAAAGCTGATTACCCCTAGTACAGCATCAAATAAGGGACAACTTTAAGAGTCCGAGGTAATTTGCATTCCTGTTGCAATAGCAGAGCCAAGGTGTAGGCGTCTCCCACCTGCTGATAACAGTTTAGTTGGAAACCCCAATGAACCTGACGCATTTCCCAGTTCTTCAAGGTGACTCAAAGGGATCCTGGAGCAGTATCATGCAAAAAGGTGTCTGTTAACATAAATAGCCTCTGCATCAGTACCATATACTAGACATGGTCCTAAAACATCTAAACTGTTCACAGACAAAGTCTGATTTGGAATTAAGTTGGTAATCTCCATGCGGTCTTTGGTAGGGTCGTTGCTTAGCCAGGCACTTACTACGGACTGGTTAATGGTATTGTGGGCAAAGAATGTACTAGATTTTCCTCCTAAAAGTGAGGGAAGGAAAGACAAACAGAAGTCAGTTCAAAATTATTTAAAACAGTCTCAAGATTTAGAGAAACRTAACAAGTACAGGACAGATATAATGGGAATAGCATTTTAAATTTAAATGATTTTTCATATTAACAAATGCAGTACCTCCCTGGTAAAAATAAAAGATAGCTAGAACATAAGTACTTCCAACCTTTACAGAAGCCTGCTACCCACCTCTCTCCTTAGTTAAGGGAACAAATAAGTCAGCACAACTAAGAACTCATCTCATTGAACAAACACTATGAGTAACTACAAGTTACCCTTCTATTTGAAGACTGAAAGCAAGCATGGATTTATTATCTTGCTTATGCAGCAGTATATTTAGGCATCAATCTTGCTGTATTTGAGGCATCAGCTTTGCTTTAATATTTACTCCCTTCTGTACTTTCTCCCTACTTAATCCGGAGAAAGTGACACACATGGATTTGTCTTCAAGCTTTTCTTTCCCCACAAAAACAAGACAACAAAAAATATCAAATGGAAGTTTCGCAGTTTGACAGCTCTCTCTCAGGATAAAGTTCACCATTCACTCAGGATAAAGTTTACCATTGTCTGAAGTGGTGCACTTAAGGGGTTATTTTTAGTATACCTGAGAACATGCAGAGTGCAATTTGATCTGCAGTTATACTATTATTCTCTTGAACAGAACTCAACTTTGAGTCACAGTTTTGAGGCCAAAGACATTTGAAAGTTTCCCCACTGACTGTTCTCTGAAGCTGCAAGCAATTAAGCAGCCCAAGATTAGAATGCAAGAACAATTTTTGATATCAGTTTCACGTCTTCAAAACCCTAGCAATACAAAGGGATACCATTTCACTCACCGACAATCATGCCTTGAAAAAAAAATTGCCTGCAGAGTAAATTCATAATTCTATTATCCCATTAACTTATACATTTTTTTCTAACGCCTGTATAGTTCAACACCTGTATACACACCTAACACCTGTATATTCTAAACTGTATAGTTTAGATCTCCTTTAGRTTCAGGTAATTTTAGGTCTCTTATCTCTGGTCTATATGGATGTGATTTAAGTGAACTCAATTTATCCTTTAAATTTTTTACATGTCTCTTCATATACCAGGTAAAACACAGTGAGGATAGATAAAAACATTGTTATCCATAAGTATTTCATCTTTCAAAGTGCCTACCCCTGTCTAAGAAAAGGTGCTGGATATGCATTTTCTATAATGTGTTTGCAATTGGAGCATATGAAATCAAGTGCTTTAGCTAAGTTGCCAGGTGACAAATTCAGTGCAAGTCAACTTAAAAAAAAAAATAATAATCTTCACCTTGATGAAGAAAAGAAGGTTTTTCAGATACACTAGTGGAAGTATCCCAGTGCCAAAGAGAACCATCTTCGGAACACGTAAATAAGTGATCTGGGTTAGAGGGATGGAAGTGGACTTCCCACACTAGAAGTAATGAGAGAAAAAGAAACACTTATTGGAGAGCAAGCCATGTTGCTCATGGTAAAAGYTGCACAAAAATTACACAAGTTAATCAATCCAAGAGCAGAATATTCTTAGTTACTATAAAGTTCTTTGAGTCTACTTTAGTCTTAAAAATAGTGAATATTTATGGCGGTAACCATATAAAGGTACCTTTYTAAGTACAGACTAGTTATACTATAGTTAGTAAACTAGAATGGACAGTTGTCAAAATGTACGACCATCACCACTTCCTGGCACTGCAAATACTGCACTTCTGAACTGGGCAGGTGAGAGAAGGTGCCTCACAAAGGCCACTGAGGTCCTGCTATTGCAACATACTGAAATACAACAGCTCAGGCACAAATAAAAGGAATCATACATATAACAGTAAACTAACATGACCACATTACAGAAAAACCTTGGCCATATGCACAAAGTAGTTGTACAGTCAGTGCCTTCTACAGCTATACTAGGAAAAGGGAAGGAAGAAATACTGAGCAGCTCCAGAGAGAGAGAAGCACTTCAGATAAGGAATACTGCTTTCTGGTAGAAACCAAAACAGTTTATCTGCACTTTTTTGAATTAGTGTAAACTATCTAGATCTCAGCCTCTGGGGTTGAGCAAAATCTTTTCACAAACTCCACATACTTAGCTCTGGGCACTGTGACTGGTCAGTCACTATCATAAAAGACTCCAGATCTCTCCAAAACCTTGCATTCTTGGAAGGGTGGGAGGGAAACTGCCATCAGCAACTCACTGCAGTTTTCCCTTCCCTGAAAACACAGATCTTTCATTCTGTTGCACTTTCAGTACTGTGAAAATTGCTACACGTTAAAATCTTATCTAAATTCAGACATTCTAAATAGCTTTCTCATGCTGCCTTCCCTACCATTAAACTTAAATCCGCACACAGCAGGCATTCTTTCCCAGAACAAAGAGTTATTTTGTTTTCAAATACCACAACTGTCAAAATAGTTAAGGCAGAGTTCTTATCTCAAGAAACAATTTACTTGCTAAATATAATCCTGGTATTGAATCAATAAATTACCAGCATGGAATGAGTCGCTATCTTCTTGTTCACATAATATTACCAGAAAAGTGAACTGTGTCAGCATTGTTGAGGCACCAAACAGAAGTGCAATATTTTCCAACCCCTTCCTTCCTTAACTTCCCCTTTCCAAGCTTGTCAGGAGCTGCATTCCTTCTTTACTATGTCAGAATAGGAGAGCATGAATTATTATGAGCTGAGACTATGCATATACCTATGTTCTAGAAACAAACTCATTCTAATCAAATGCATCTGATGACTCATTCAAGATTTAAACCACTCACTAATTCAAATTTCAGGAGAACTGCCTTTTAGACAAGAGTCTCATATATAGACAAGGCAAAAAAAACCCCTACAACTGCCTGAAGACGTATTAAATAGCTGTAACAGAAAACAACTCTGCCGTTCCTACAACATTTAATAATTGCCCAGCACAGTTCTGCAAGGAAAACTTTTTATTTTAAGATCCAGATACTTACTTTCTGCTTCATGAGCATTTAGCAGGGACACTGGCATAGTACCCTGCCTGATGTCCCATATGCTCAGCACGCCATCCTGGCCTCCCGTGGCCACAATGTGCTGCTGATTGGGATGCCTATCCACACAGTGCAGTGGAACTCTGTCACCTGTCCTGCAGCAGAGGAAGAAGGAACAACATTAATTCCCAGTTCAACATGTAGCTTCTTAATCCCTAGAAGTTTGACCAACAACCACACTAACTGCCAATTAAGTTCCTATATTTTCTGGTCACTAGAGATAGATCCATATGATGCCTCCTGGAATTTCAAGGTACAGTAGTAACATGAAGCTGCAAGCAGGCAAGCATCAGGCTCTGTGCCCTATGGTATGCAGGCATTTACATGTTACCTGACAGCTCTACAGGAATGAGAGTGCTTCACTTATAAATGCTACTCTAACTGTACCTACAGCAATAAGAATGCTACCCTGAATTTCATGTTAGTATCTCTTGAAACAGAAATTATAAGAGTAATAGAGAGAGACCCATCTCTACCAGAACCCTGCAGTAACCCACAACATGTTAACACTGGGAATCGTTTCACTGGTAAAAGGATTTAAATCTAGCTTCAAATTTCTGCATTTTGGTCACAGGATGTAAATCTAGCTTTAAGTTTCTGCATTTCGGTAAACGGATTCAAATCTAGCTTTAAGTTTCTCCACTCTTGTGTCAAAGTTGTCCTTCAAAAACATTTTGAAAGTCAAACTTTATATCAAACTGGGGGAGGAGGAACAGAGAGGACATTTAATCAGGGAAAGGAAGCAAAAAAGGAAGTTAAAAAGCCTTTCTAAAAACACAAAGGACTTACAAAGAAAATATTTGAGATGGCTCATTTCTTTGCTGTCTGAGGTCCCATATTTTCAACTGTCCAATGGAGTTTACTGTCAAGATCTCAGTGGTGCGAAGGAAAGTCACCGCGTGGAGCGTGCTGCTGTCGGCATTGTCTGCAAGAGAGATCAGGGCACCACTGAAGTAGCAATTCAGGCAAACACAAGCAATGCTCCCTGCAGTTGTCTTCTGAAGCAGTGTCTCCTCAAACCCAGCACAACTACTTCACTTCAGCATTGTTACAACCTCTGCCTTTCCACGGCAGACACAACCCACTGTCACCTGGCACTTTCAGGTGTCGCACCCGTGCCCTGTGAAAAAAGGAGCCCTCTCTCTGTGACATACAGCCCCGAGACACACATCTGGATAGACYAGAAGCTATACTGAAGGAGTTGCAGGATGCACAAATTGCTGTTCTAGAAGATTCTTTGTCTTGCTGGGATCGAGAATGCTTTAAACTCCCTAACTTTCATAACATGCAATCCTTATATGCTCCGCGTTGAGGTAAATCTTTTGAGAATGTAGGACAGAACAACATGGATAGCACATTCTTACAACTTCATTTTCTTTTTATTATGTAACTTTTATTCTAGTCATGGCTGGGTCACATCATTATGGCTACTTTTACCCCCAAATATTTTTAAGTATTTTTAAATTCTTTGTTCAAGTTCATTCTAATAATGCAGGTAGAGGTTTGTTTTTTTTCTTTTGGGGGGGGTGGGGTGCTGCACAGGAGACAAACTTCTCATCTTGAGACAGACAAGTTAGACTGCTTCAACATTGCATACATTTAAAGAAGATTTATTTTCTGCWTACTTTTTAAATGATTAAGTTGGAGTTGTTTAGGACTAGAGGGAGAAATTACCTACAAAAAGGCAAGATTATTGACCACTGAAGTTTTAAATGGACTGTAAGCATTTAAATGGATTTTAAGCAATATATGGCAGAATAATAGTATGYAATTTGGCAATACAGTATATTTATATCTCCAGAACATTTTTATATCCTCTAATTTCAGGGATTTTTCTGCTAGGATTAGACATATAAATTTTCTATTATATTTTTTGAATCTGTTATTCAAAAAGTATTAATTTATGAGTTCTATGAAAACATGTAGCCAGCTCAGCTTCTCAGGAATGGTAAGATCCATTGTATTAGGAGTCTGTACTAAGAACTGGAAAAGAGAAAAAAAAAACCCCACACCATTAAAATCCTGTGCATTATTAAATCTAAATGTAATCTAAGTTATTGCCTGGGAGAAAAACAGAACACGAGATTTTTATTGGCACCTGTTTTTTTGGGGTAACAAAACACTATTAAACTTGCACTAGAACACTGTATTAAAAGATTATTCTAATTTTATTTTTTTTATTTACACACAAGTATTAAGACAGTTAAGCTAGTCCCTTTCACCACTCCCCAAAAGGAAGAGAGCTACTGTGTGCCGTGGGTATGTGCTAATAAAAATCTTCTGCCCTGTGCCCAGGAAAGGGATGGATGTAATTAATAGGATTTATCTTGTATGTATACAGACATGCTCCCACAAACAAGTAACCCTCTCTAGAAATCTCCAAGCACTTTCCCCCTTAATTGGCTTATCACTGTAAATTCCCTCATCTGCTAGAGGCAAACCGGAGCTCCAGGGAGMAAGTTCCAGCTTCACAATACCCTTATCAAGCAACATGCTGATGTCCTTCAAACAGCTTTCAAGCACAAACATTCAACTGGAATTATTTAATTCAACTCGCAACTGATTTTTTTGAGGAAAAAAAATGTAATAAAACAAACACACACACGAACAGCAACTGGCTTAAGCAGTTCTTGGCATACCTATAGTTCTCACTGCATCCTTTTGGTCGGCTCTGAAGAAATTTATTCTACCATCTTCTCCAACAGTGACAATTTCTGGRTTGTTGCAGATCACTCCAGTGCATGCTGCCCCACCACACGCTGCCCCTCGATCCACGTGATAATGAGCTTTCTCCCACCGCTGGTTGGCAGATAAAGTCTAAGGAGCAACCAGACAGGAAACTCTCCTGGTAAGTTATCATTCTGGTAAGAGTAAAGCATCCAATACACTCACAAAACCAGCAGCTGGTTCCAGTAAAGATATATTGCCCTAGAGCAATGAGAATCTTTTATATAATTAAGAATCAGTGATCTGTAGGTTCCCTCTAAGAATCAGTGATCTGTAGCTTCCCTCTACACTTAACACTACACACCTAAGCACTTTAATCAAACAGATGTTTCTGCTTATGTCATCTTCTCTGAAGCACTTTTTTTCCCCAAATTTAAAATAAAACAAAAAACAAATAAACAAAAAAACAAAAAAACACACACAGAAAACTGAAACTATCTGTTCCTGAACTGTGATTGTGCTTTTCACAAGACTTAACCCTCTTCAGCTTTTCCCCAGGCCAAGGGAAAAGACCCTRGGCCTTTGCAAAAAGCTAAAGTCAAATTTAGATTCTGATTGCAAGAAAATGATTTTATCTTAGGTACGAAGTTAAACTATTAGGAAATATTACTCTCTGTTGTGCCAGTGTGGGTAAGCTGAAGTTACTATATACTCTGTTAGAGCAATGTTTAATCTGAATGAAATGATAAAATTAAAGAGTTTTAAATATTAGCTTTTCTAGGTCAAGAATGCATAAAACTAGTAAGGCAGGCACAGGTACATTAATGGTCCCTTCCCCCTCACCCTCTTTATTCTTTCATAACCAACTGAATCTAACCTCTTAAATTGTCTTTTCAGTGTATGGACTGTTTGGTTACAGATATACACACACCCAGCCTGTCAGCCTATTGATCYGGCTTAGCAGACGCATACAAGGCTTATTCTCCTTTTCTATACATAAACAGCCAAGCTCTTCCTAACAGGCTTAAAAAACAAGCAAAAAAACCCACTTGATTTTGGTAGATATGTTTCTTGCTCTAGTAGTTTTGAGAATCATATGCAAGATCATTCTATGCGGAAGGGCAACCTAAAGTCAGTCCAAACGACTTACCTGATTATTTTGGTGATGACGGAATATAGTCACATCTCCTGTTGATGAAGCAACTACAATTCTCTCTTGGTCCAAAAACTAAAAAGAGATGAGAAGTGTCTTTATRAGTTGACATTAATACAAAGATAATAATTTTGAGTTTAGACTTACAGTATTGCTAGATACAGGAAAAAGTACAAAATTCTATTGATCACTTATCCTCTTCTTCATTTTAAATGTCATGTTTTTGCCAGTTTGGTATCACTAATGTTCTCATTGAAGACAAACCCTTAAAATCAACACACAGCTACTAACAACAACAATTTTACCTGCATGTCCATGACGTCCCCATTGTGCCTGATGTCGCACAGCAGCTGAGGCTCTCCTTGGTATTCTCCATTGAGGCCCACACTGCCAAGGTCTCCAACAGACCAGATGGAAATCCTGTTATCCTGCACGGAAAGCGACACCACCACTTTTACCGGAGAGAGTTTACGGGGGTATTCAGCGTTCAGACAGCTTGGATTTCAAGATCTTTGGGGAAAGGAGAAGCCTTTACACATGCAATTCCTTCGGGGGGCCACCCCACGGAGGAATAAAACGGGGAGCGCAGGAGGCCTGGCCAGCACGGGGAACGGGAAGAGGGGCCTGTCCTGTGGGCAGCAGCTGCTGTGCGGCCCGGCGGAGCCCGCGCGGCCCCGCTCCCCTCAAGGGCGCCGCGGGGAAGGGGGCGCCGCTACCTCGTTGTCCCAGGAGCCGGTGGCGAAGCAGTCGGGCGGGCGCAGCGCGGCGGCGGGCGGCGGCCGCCACCGGGCCTTGCTGACCTTCTGCGACACGAACTTGGCGCACACGTCCTCCATGGCGCCCGCCGCGCCGCGCCGCGCCGCCCGCGCCCATTGGCTGCGCCCGCGCCGCGACGGCGAGCCGGGAGGGACACGCGCGGCCGGCGCCGCCAGCGCCCGCTAACGGCCGTTAACGTTAACGGCCGTGGCCCCGCGGCGCCCGCGGCGGCSCCAGCGGAGCGAGAAGAGAAGCGGCCACAGGCGAGCCCGGAGCGCAGCTACACGCGGGCGAGCGAAGAGCAGAACAGCTGAGGCAGCGCTCCGCGATTACTGAAGGGTCCCACGTATTTTTGCTGATTGCTCTGCAAGAAAATAAGCTTCCGATCTTTGTGTATTTTTCTCGTTTACTCCTGCGTAGCTTCATTCATTGCACAGGGTTGCTGGGTCAAAAGCATGTGGAAAGTAGGTTGGCCATATGGGCCATCCCATTAGGGCAGGAAAACTCTGCCTTTTCTTTCTTGTCTTTTARGGAGTATTTTGGCAGCATGCTATGTGATGGAGTTGAGGGCTATGATGGATTTAGGACTACTCTATACTATCTTTATGTTCTCTATATTTGATCATTGTGAAAGATGTGTGCTGTTGTTGCAGTGTAACAGCAGATTTTAAATAAACAAAAGGAGGAAAAAAATCAGGAAAAAATACACCTCACCAAATATTTCTGAGGTCACCAAAAAGGGGATTTAAAGTCTAGACAGGGCTAACCTTGGTCATTACATCCAAAAATACTAGCCAAAGCAGCGGGGAGCTCCTAAGGGATATCCTTTAAATGTGGCTTAAGTTATGAGAGCRAGTGGAAGGAGGAAAACATTCCTCTCTGCCAGAGGTTAGGGAGCCTGGGAATGAAGGCACTTACTAGATCAGTGGCTGTTCAAGGGCAGGGTAAACCTAATTATGCATCTTCTGAAGATGCTGTTTTCTTCTAATCTGCTTTGCTCAGCTATCACTCTGCAAGGTTTTAGGGAAGCTCTGTGTGGGTGCTGTATTTATGGGTGGTCGCAGCTCGTCGAGCAGTGCCCAGGTGCCGGCAGGCACAGCTGATGGGCACGGTGCTGCAGCGCCGACACCGCGCAGAGCRGCAGGGCCCTGTGCCACAGCAGAGCGACCCACGGCGCTGCCTGCCTGGCCAGACCCCCGCGACACCCCCGACCTGCTCATGCTCACACACTCAGCACTGCTGCAGGGCGGCCACCTCTTAGTGACTCGTTTGCTTTGGCACCCAAGCGAGCGGAGCCCACTTGGTTTTTGCATGCTGGGCAAGCCACGATTATCCCCACCCTCTGAGGAAGAACTTCTTTCCTGTGAGAGTGCCAGAGCCCTGGCACAGGCTGCCCAGGGAGGTTGTGGAGTCTGCTTCTCTGGAGGTCTTCAAACCCACCTGGATGCCGCCCTGTGCTCTGGGTGTCCCTGCTGGAGCAGGGGGGGTTGGACTGGATGATCTCTAGGGATTCCTTCCAACCTCAACCATCCTGTGGCTCTGTAATTCTGCCCACGGCACCCTGTGGCCTCTTCTCCCGTAGCTCGGGGCTCTTCTTCTCTCAGGAGCAGCCCGGCTCCTGCTGCGTGCTGGCCCCAGGAGACACGGATGTGCCCAGGCCCCCTCCTCCTGGACCTTCCTCAATGGCAGTACAAGTGGGAGGCAGGGACTGAGTTTTTTAACTCAGGAGGAACAGGAGGAGCGAGTGCAGGTGCAGAAGACGATTCATGCGGTTTGGGACATAACTGGAAATGCTCAAAAGGGTAAGAGGAGATTCCTGCTGGTTGTGTGTACACACAAGAGCAGATGGGATTGGGCAGCAATGACCAGCCTTTCACATGCTTTACAGACTCAAAGCGTTTAAAATTCTGATGGCTTCATGGGGTGGGAGGGAGAGAAACAGTACAGGAATAGTAGCAAGGAAGAGTTTATATATCAATGTATATAGATAGAGCTAAAGGATTGAGATGTGGGTGAATGGGTGGGARAAGAGATCTGAGATCTGCTATGTGCTTAAAATCGCTGGAATCRCCGCATTAAAATGATGAAGTTACCACCTGCTTTGGCTGTCGACATTCCCAGGCCTCTTCCCTTACACATCAGTCCACACACCAGCTTGTTTGGACTAACATCTGCAAAGTTTTATGGAAAAGTCTGTAACTCCGGCAGCTGGAGGTACCTGCAATTGACAGTGGGCAGTGGAAACCAGTGCACTCAGACTGGCTTGCACACGTGGCAGGGAAGAAGATAAAGAAATGCTGGGTGTAACAGTAGACGGGAGGTTTCCCAGAACTACCAGTAGCCAAAACAGCTTTTGTGCTTGTCTTTCTCCACAGTCATGCCAAGAACATGGGCAACAGGCAGCCAAAGGTACATCTCGTTTGGAAGCGTCTGTGCAATGCTGCATGATCCCAGCAAACACAGGTGGGCTTTTCCCCATGCTCTGTGACAGGCTTAATCCTAATTTGAGCAGGTCCTGGTTAGAAGAGTCAGTTTGTATGTAAACTTTTTCTCTTGTGTTTTGGTCTTCCAATGGGGTAAGTATCCCTGGAATGCTTTTAAGTGTAGGCCAACTCATTTCTTGCCAGCAGCCTCTCTCTGTGAGCGTAATGCAGCTTGCTTGCATGTGACAGCAGAAAATGTCTTTTGCATTTAAAACAATGAAGTATTTTTTGTGCATTTTTACAATGTSTGCTTGTTCTCTGTACATGCTGACCTTTGGGAATTTCTTCAGCTTCATGAYTTCGCTCTTTCCTGGCCTCCTGGATGCTGGAGGGAGACTTCTATATATGGTGGAGTAGGCTGGGAATTTCTCATGGAATGAAGAATAGCCCCCAATTCACACATGGGGGCAAATACAGAATGAAGTCAGGGGATCCATCTCCAGGAGTAGAAGAACCAGATGGAAGAGGTTTGGGAGGCCGGGAAGGGAGCTCTTTTGTGCATGGGGTAAAAGCCCGATGTGCACTAAATTGGGTGCTAGCTGGAAGAGCAGATTCCCACCTCCTCATTCCCTTCACTGGGACTAAAAGCCGTGAGATGAAGCATATGTGAGGCGAGCAGCTGGAACAGACTCATCCCTCCCRGATCGGCTTCTCGCACAGAAGATGTTATCTTTGTCTCCCACGGTRGACTGTGAGGCTGCGTGTGCCTGCAGATGTTGAATGTAGCTGCTCTTTGTCTTCTGGAAAAAGATTCAGTCCCGTTCCTAAGCCCCCAGCTGAAGCCACCGGGGCAGGACGGCGACCTCCAGGAACACGGCCACGTTCCCGMTATATCCACAGGTGGCTGCGATGAATCTCTGGAGCCTGCTGAGACCATTGTGCTGCTTCCTCGGAAGCCCTGGTGACAAACACGCACTGTTCTGCGCCTGAGCGTTGGGCTCCACTCGGTGCCCCGTGACAGGTAACAGGGCTGCACGCGTGCGGCCGGAGCAAGGCCAAGGAGAGTATCAGAGGACCTGGAGACTCTCGAGAGCCTGAAGGACACAGGCGCTGTGGGGAGCCATCCTAAGCATGGCAACATATGGACACATACATGGAAGCCACAGTTGCCCTCAAGATCATAAAGTTGTACCAGGGAAGACATTTTCATTAATCCTAAAGATGATAATCAGCTCCCTCTTACAGTCTCTTTGTTAAGAAGATCCTTTACCTGACTGCTCAGATAGCTTATGCTTGTGCAGTTCGGCTATTTTGGATTGTGCAAGATACCCCAGCCCTTTGCAGAAGCAAGTGGACAAGTTCATCTTCTATATTTAAAACACCTTGCATTTGCTTTCACAGATTGCTTCAAATCTCTTCTAGAGTTGTACCAAGCCGTTTCAGCTGAAATGTCCACACTCAGCACATGCTTGGAGCAATGTATTTTCTTTCCACTACTACAAGTCTCTGGGAGAGTTCAGGTGCCCTGGGCAGGCACCTTAACTCATTTCTTWATTTTCTGGGGAATTCTAGAGTTTTGCTGAAGATTTCATCCAAGACATGAAGTATTGCAGTTAACAGTTGTTACTGCAGTTAACCTGCAGTAAGTGCAGTTACCTGCACAGTTACAACCATATTACAACCCGATTCTGAATACAGAAACTGACACCAAAGRGGAATTTCCTTGAGAAGGGGCCACAGAATGGGCAAAACACTCTCTGGAAAATAAACTACGTGAACTYGAGAGCCTGTCACTATGACAAGGTTTTTCTTGTACAGTGTGGTGCCAACATTAAGCATTAGGAGTTTAGGAATACCCAGGATGCCCACTTGTTGGTAGGGGAGTATTCTTCCAGCGCTGAGGCGCAGGAGCACCAGGACGTACTGCCTCCCCGCACAAGATTAGTCTCATTTTGTGCACATGCTGGGACAGAGTAAAGCCTTTACCATTTATTAGCTTCTGAGTAACTTATCTTGTGATGTAGGCCCATCTTAAAAGGAATTTTAATATGTGATTGAGAGATGGAAAATGTCCGTTCCGCTGGCATCCRTGAATACCAACAGTAGCATTTACTAAAATGCTTAGAATTTCCGATTCAGCACTTTATCCAGCATTTAGCAATACCGGTGAAAATCACGCTTCGCTCCAGATAACAACACAGCCGGCGACAGCGCTCTGTTAGCCGCACACGCGGCTGTGCGGCCGCTAACGGGGCTGCCGCGCCGCCGCCCGCGCGCCTCAGCCCGCGCTGACCCCCTTCCCCGAGCTCCTCCGCATGGGGAGCCCGGCGCTCCGCTCGGACCAATAGCAGCCTCCGGCACGTACCGCCGGCCTCGCCCGCGCCAATCGACGCGCTCCATGCAGACGAAGCGCGGCGCGCCGAGGCTGATTGGCTCCGCCACAACGGCGGCGCCGGCCCCGCCCCGCTGGCGCCGTGGCAACGGGCGCGGCCGCCGGCGGCGCGCGCCAAGCGCCCG